ATATGGATGTATCATATTGAAATAAGCTTAAAGTCATTAAATTGTTCTCATGTCGATCTCTTCGTGATCACAGGCTGGAACTGGTATAGCAGAACTCATAGCACTTGCAATTTCAAAGAAGGTAAAAGAATTTGGTTGCCAATGGTTTGTTAAAGTCGTATTCTCGTTTAGTATGTTTCACTTAATAAATTGTGTTTGTTATCTGCAGTCAAACGCCCCTGTGGAGGAAGCGCGTAAAAATATCTGGCTCGTAGACTCAAAGGTAGAAAAAACATGATTTACGATTGGTTACACAGGCGTCTATATAATCAAGTGATTATGTGCAGGGTTTAATTGTAAACGCGCGAAAGGAATCACTTCAAGCTCACAAGAAACCTTGGGCACATGAACACGAACCTGTCAACAATCTCCTCGACACTGTTAAGGTTTGATCGCTGAGCTCTCTAATCGAGGATCACCACTTTTAAACTCCTTCTGTATGTGATTACGCTTCTAAAATTTATATTTTTAGGCCATTAAGCCAGCTGCCATAATCGGAACGTCTGGAGTTGGACAAACATTTACTAAGGAAGTGATTGAGGCTATGGCCTCCATAAACAAGGTGTTTCATTTCCGCGATTTTCCATTTCCTCTCCTTCCAATCGAAATTTTCTTGAGCTGACGGATTAAAATATGATTTGCGCAGAGACCTCTCATTATGGCTCTCTCAAACCCGACTGCACAATCCGAATGCACTGCTGAAGAAGCTTACACTTGGAGTGAGGTAAGTAGCTAATATTCATGGTAATGGAGATATATATGATTTGAAACCATTATTTCGAAAGTACAACGAGTTCAATGCTAATAAGAATCTTGAACGTTGAACCCATCAAAGTTCAAATTTGTGTTTTGGTTAAATCTTGTACTAAACGCTCACGACGTTGATGTTGTTTCTTATCCTTTTATGAAAAGGGTCGAGCCGTCTTCGCTAGTGGAAGTCCATTCCCTTCAGTAGAGTACAACAACAAACTCCACATTCCTAGCCAGGTCTTCAAATGCATATATATGCTTAAATTCCTTTTGTGAAGTACCATTACAATCGACTCAACTATGGTTAATTTACGTTTTTTTCGTGCAATATCACAGGCAAACAACTGTTATATATTCCCAGGATTTGGTTTTGGCTTGGTCATGGCTGGCGCTATCCGTGTGCACAACGACATGCTTTTAGCAGCTTGTAAGTACTCTTTCATTTCAATTTGTTCGCCTTATTACTTTCCTATTAAGTCAAAGATCTCTTTTCTCTTTTCATAATGTCATGTTCACGTACCCGGTACCACATAGCCAAAAGCCACATTTACTTTCTTAAAACTCCGTCTCAAGTTAAAACCAGACAATCAAATTGAAACATAGGGAGTTATCTTGACTATAAGTGGTGGTAAATGGACGAGTTGGGTTAAATTTGGACAAGTCGATCCCCTCCCCAATCGTCCATCGTGTAACATCCTCCCCTCGACTTTAAACTTTAGTATTAATTTTTGTTTACGCGAAACAGCGGAAGCGTTGGCTGGTCAAGTAACTGAAGAACATTATGGCAAGGGAATGATTTACCCTCCATTTGGTAATATCAGAAAGATCTCAGCTCATATTGCTGCTAATGTTGCTGCTAAAGCATATGAACTCGGTGAGCCCGTTTCTTCCTGGATTTAAGTTATATGTACTGACAACGCAAAATATGTTACACTATTCGTATAAGTCAATGTCCATTATATAAACTCATTTATAATTACCTTTTAAGTGATCTGATCGTGTTATATACGTGAAGGTGTTGCGACACGTCTGCCTCAGCCTGCAGATTTGGTGAAGTATGCTGAGAGTTGCATGTACACTCCGAATTATCGCAGTTATCGCTGATAAATTAAAATTAAATAAATAAACTTTTTACATGTTGTAATTTTATTTATAGGTAAAAATAATGCTCCCTTTAGAAAGGATGAATTGTAGTCCATGTAAAAGTAGCAATGTGTTTGTACTATAGTTTGAATAAAATGGGTCTTGATTGACCTATATGACAATAAAGAATATTATATTTGAAAAAAAGGTTAAATATATATTCTCAAAACTTTCATAAACATAAATAGTATGTGTATATCTTGCGGTATATATATACTTTTTTTTGGTGAAGAAACCATTTTTGTGAAGGAACGAGTCCACTAACATTAAATGGGCCAGATTCAAAAACGTTTTATGGGAACTCAACAAAGAACCCTTTGCGTGAAAGTTTGAGACCTTGTTTGTAGTCCATGTCGAATCAGGGATAGAGCTAGTAAGAGTCTAGGGGATTCATTCGAAAGTTACACTTCCATGTTGAATTAGGGACAGAGCTAGTAAGAGTTCATTCGGAAGTTACACTATACATTATTCAAGGATAGAGCTAGTAAGAGTCTGGGGGTTCATTCGAAAGTTACACTTCCATGTCGAATCAGGGAAAGAGCTAGTAAGAGTTCATTCGGAAGTTACACTATACATACAAGACTAATGTTTTATGTATATTGCATACCGCCTTTATGAATGCTAGCTCCACCGCTATGTCGAAATCAAGTTGAAAGTCAAATTCAATCCGTTATTTTTTTCTATTGAACAAGTGTTCTAAATCCATTTTTCAGCGTGTTTTTCATAATAACAATAACTTGCTCATTTCATTAATGAAAAGAAAAGTGGAGGCTCCAAATGTAACACTTCAAGTAGAGTATGATAAAGAAGCAACATATCCTAGATTAGGTATCAGTTGTTTTCTGTTTCGGAAAGTCTAATTTTATTCGTACAAAACAAAATAAATGATCATGATACAACATAAAATAATAATCCAAACTGTCCTTTCGACTCTAGCTCTTTCGACTTCAACGCTCTTTCACTTTGATAAGAACTGGTGTCCTCCATTCTTCGTGTTAAATGAGATGAGAGAAGTATCACAAAATGTATTAATATTGATGAGTCAAGGAAGTATAAATTCAAAATATCCCTTGAGACGGTTAGTAGACTCTGTAACATCTCTTGTCAATAGCAATTCGAGAAAACAATTTAGGATCAAAATTACAATAATATGTATTCATATTTGTTAAAGAATGACAAAACTCCCACATCGGTGGTTAATGAGATGGGTGGACTCCTTATGAGGCTATCATCTTTTAAGTTGGAGTTGACATTATTTTAAATTTATAGACATGAAATATACGGATGAAGATCTAATAAGGTGTTTAACGAAATTTATTCGTGGAATGCCTATTGACTACCATGATATTCCGTATGTAGACTTATACGGTAATAAAGAGCTAGTTTTTGGGGTGTGAGTTATTGAAATTGAAATTGGATTTTTTATTTTCAATATTTACTATTATTTTGGTCACAAATACTTTAAATATATTTGATTATTTTGTATCTCCACCAATATGTGATAAAAGTTTTTTTAAATTTTTTCATATATAAGTAATTATTAAAGAGTGCATTTATAACTTATAATATAAATTATTAAATACATATATGACAATTATTTTATACAATATAGTTATTATTTATATTTATTTACACAAATTATCTAATTATATTTTAGATGATATTTAACATTTCTAACCAAAGATGAATTGTAGCACAAATATATAACTAGTAGCATCTTTATGAGTACCATATGCTCCAATTCTATACTTTGATTCTTATTGTTAAAATGCTTTTGATATGTCTTGAATGTTTGATTAATTTAATGCAAATATACTAGGACTCCATTTATAATCAATTTATTTTTATCCATATAAAATAAATGAATTTGAAATTTAACTTGTTTTAATTAATCCTTCTGATTTCAACCTAATCTGTTTAGTGTTATAAAATTTATGATTATTACGTATTTTTTCTTTTTTTTAATCATACTAAAATCATTTCCAAATAAAGGTAATTTATCAAAATTGATTTTTTAAGAGAAATATTTTATTTAATAATGACATTTTTTCGTAGTTATTCTACAAAGGATAGGTCACCTTTTTATATTTAAATTTACTTTTAACTTAAAGTCTTTTTATTTCATTTTTAATAGTACACTTTATGATTATAAAATTTCAATAACATATTAAAAGATAATTATTTGTTTTCTTAAAATTATTCGTTTTAATTAAACTTTAGTCAACTATCATCTTATAAAATAAATAAATATTAGATTATCATCTAACGTTTTGAATAATTGAAGAATTTTCGAATATAGTCCTATATGTTTTTTCATGATATTTTTAGATTATCAGTCAAAAATATAGTCATCAAATTTAATTTTATTGTAAAATTGTTATAATATTTTATAATGACAAAATTAGTCTTAACTTTTTTAATGAAGGCAACTTTCATTGACTATTACACATTACGAATTTATAAGAGAGAATAAAACAAATAAGATATATATATAAAAAATATATATAAATTGTAACTGGTTCGATACATTCTAGGTGAATCAATATTGAGGAAAATCCAAATTAAATTAAAGATCAAAATTAACTTAAATTATGTCCTTCTTCGTCTATCTTCTCTCATGTCAACAGTCTTCTATTTTTAGTCGATCGTCGTATATATGAATTAGCTCTTGGAGAGAGATGTGGCGACGGACATAGTTCTCGTCTTCGAGAATGAATTTATCGATCCCATTTACAATCTTTAAATTTTACTTTCTCCGTCTGAGTTCATGTGAATCCATTCGATTGGGCTCATGGTATATGAAAAAAAAAACTTTCTAAATTTATGATTCCAAGCGTGTCATAATTACATTTCTGTGGCTATAAAAGCATCTCATTAAGGATAAAGCATAACAATAAAATTAAATTATTCTAAATCTAGAAAAGAGTCATTCTTTCTAATCGAACTAACAAGTAACAAGGATTCACAAAAATTGAGATCCGCATAAATATATATATATATATATATATATATATAAACTCATTCTTAAAAGTCGAGTCGATCAAATTTAACTTCTGAATCTGCAACCGTTAAGCGGCGGAGACTTTATAACGGCAAAGAGGGCAAGAATTACAAATAGAGAGCCATTTGATGAGACAATTTGCATGAAAAACATGACCACATAGCATTTTCTTGCCTTGATCATCAATACTTCTTTTAAAACCTTCCATACATACTATACAAAGGCCATTTTCACAGTTAACACTAGGCAGTTCAACTCGAAAACTCGAGTCGTGATCATCGGGAGGCGTGAAACACCGCGGTGCCGGTGGCTCAGCCGCATCACCGCCTGAAATTCCGACCACCGTTAACGCCAAATCAAGATCGAAATCTTTATCCATTTAAAATGAAAAAAATCTAACTTATGATCGATTGATATTTGAACATGTACTATATATAGACGATTTAATTATTAGAGGAAAAAAAAACACTTTATACCCCATGCTTCACCATTGGGTGGTGGGTTGGACAACAACTTTAATGTCATGAATTTGGTTTTCTTATTTTATAATATAAAGTAGAAATTAAATATATGAGATTACAATATAATTACTTTAGAAAGAATCAACGTATAGTTTTGGTTGACAAAGAAAACGTCGTATGCAAAAAAAATAAAAAAAATAAGCATAGTTTGGGTAAATTAATTAATTAATTTAAGTAGGGAAAGAACAAGTCATTGAGCTTATATATAAAGGTTCAAGTTATATAATATTATATATTCATAGTGTAAATAAATAAATTTTGAGTTTAAAGTTGTATATATATAAGAGGTACATTTTTATTTTCTTGTTGCACGGCCACTTGACCATGCTTTTGCGTTTTTAACACATATTGCAAACGATAATAATACTATATCTAGTGAAATTTCATAAACGAGCTAATTTAAAATAATACTGGACCAATACATTTTATTTTTTTTGTATAATAAGTCAATAAATTAGGTGAACGTATTTAAATACAATTTGGCAAGTGACGATACAAATTGACCAAGTTGTCTAAGCTGATAATTCAAAATATATTATACATGTTTCATTGTCATGTATATTTTGATTTGTTGCACTTGAGCCGAGAGAAACAACAGTCTCTCTACCTCGGTGGATTGTCGTATTCCCTTTATGGATTTGTAAGTAGTAATAATCAATGATCTTTCAGAAACAGTCCATCTATATTCCCTTTATGGATTCTAAGTACGTAGTAATTTGATGAACTCATACACATTGAATTGTGAAAACATTATTTTAGAGTTATGAAACAACAAATGAAGTAGAAAACATAATTTCTACATCATACTATATAGTAAAATACAATGAGGCTAAAATACATTGAATTTATAAGACTTCAAAAACTTTCATGTTGGCTCAAGAAGTTATCGCAACATTTCCTCCACAAAGATAACTAAAGACTTGTTTAACATTCCCTCTTGACGGACGAGCATTCACAGCAAATTGACAGATAAATACCAATCGTCGTCTTAATTCTAATTTATTGATTCGTGTCTCGTTGAAAAATCTCCCTTCATCAAAGTTCCCTAAAGAAAGTATACGAAAATTAGAATATCTGTCTGAAACCTCAAGGAGAGCTACATTTTCCCAATTACTGAGAAAAAAAAACTGAAAATAGGATCGTTAATGGATTACGTGCAAGAGCTAAATTTTGTTTCGTACCTTTGTCATCGAACAATGACATCAAGATTGCTAAGCATACACAGATGCTAATATCTTCCCCTGAAAACACAAACAAATAACTTTGTGAACGATAATTTGTCTTTTGAAAACGACAGTCATAGAGAATTATCAGTGATCGTATTGAGAAGAAATCAGACAACTTTATCGTATCGTCTTCAAAGACCCCACCTCCATACTAACCTCACCCAAGAACAAGAAATTTGATGTAGGACCAAATGTATTCAGTTTTCACCATCAGATAGCACAAGTCAAATCACACGTGGAAAACAAACTCTACGACATAGTAAAGCCATACTTACCACTATTGCAGCAAACTAGGAGTTTCTTCCCTTTTCTCAAGTTGTTCTTGGCAAAATTTACCGCTGAAGGAAGATTTCTTAACAAAGAAGACCTGTCAAACTTCGAGCTCTGTATTGTTCATGACCCAACCACAAAAAAAAAGGATAAAAGAGAGTACTTATTAGCTAACAATTAGGTAAATGGACAATATACGTTTAAGGAAGTTATACACACCACGATAGATAGGTTTAAATGGGCTCCAGATTCCTTGAAACTAAAAGAATTAGTCTCCAAATCACAACTCAATACACAATCGACACCAGATGCGTCCTTAGCTGCATGGTAAATCATCAATCAGAGTGACCATTGCAAGAAGTTCATAAGAAAAATAAACCACTAACGGCACCAAATAAAGATTAGCAAATAAATAAAAGAAACGAGAAAAGAATTACATGATATGCTCAAATATCATAGCCCATTCTTCGGACTACCAAGTGATTAACCAACCTACACTTTCAATCCACAACACATATTGCTAGATTCAGAAGTAATATTAATACAACAACAGAACAGATTAAGCGTACCGAGTTGAGTAGTGCCAACTGCTAGATTCGTTTCCCCCAGCCAAGATATGGAATTTTTATCATAAATCTTCTCGTCTATGTTCATATGTAGAGGCTCCAGACCTAGTTGTTCTTGAGCAGGAAGATGGCCACTATTCGAAGAAGATTTTGAAGGCTTAATAGATATTTGAGGAGCATTTTCTCCCCTTTGTGCACGGTATACCCTATCTTTTTCAACAATATCAGCTACCGTCTTATTACATGTATCGGGACCAGAGTTTATGAGATCATAAGCATGTTTCCAGAAAAGAGATGGTGACAGGCCCCTTGCCCAACTTTCCTCATCGTCTCCAGCTCCAGCTATGTACCTCCAACTAAATTCGGAGGTTGTTCTTTGCTGTAAATTGCTACTTGGGGAAGACGTTGAAACAAGTATTATTGGAGTGAAATCCCAAGAATCACAATCAGGTACTTCATTTAACCAGATAACAGTTTTTTGTGAAATCCATAATGGGCGTAGCGGTTTTTTTAGGGATAAAGCAATGGAGGCAATGTCAGCTCCACTGACCTCCAGATCCTTGGTCCACCCGTCTAAACGCTCCTCAATAAGCACTCTTTCAGTATTTGAGACCCACAAAGGGAGATGCAAGGAACAATCCCAGTTATATGAGTCCTCATTAATAGTATTACCACATTCAGCGCAATCATTTGACTCCTGTCGAAACAAATTCACAGAAGATATCAATAAGCACATGGATACGTACGGCATTTGCATGTGTGCACGGATGTGCATATGCAGAGGCATCATTACAACTTATCATAAATAACAAGTCTACGCTGCACATTATGCATATGATGTAGTCTTTGACAAGATAGACGAGCAAAAAGCTCGACAGATCACAAGCCTTGAATTTCTTAATATTAAAATTTCGATGTTTTTACTTTCATTATATATTTTTCCTCTTTCAGTAAGTATATGGCCTCTAATATTTCAGAGACCAGCAACATCAATGTTGACGTAAGCTGCAAACAGATATTTTTGTGCTCCTCTTCCTCCAATTTACAGTTAACATGTACAAGTAACTAACCATTTATTTGTTCAAACTAAATTATTCATCTGCCTCACGGAATAAATTATGCATGTCACTGTATATCAGTATATCCGTTGGGTCAAATATTCAAGTAGATGCCTAAGTTCAATATTCATTTCTGTCCATAAAGTAATGTTAGCTCACCTTTACGCATGTCAAAATTACATCAACCACTAAACCAAAAATGATCTTTAGCGGCAAAAGCTTAATTGCCGCGAAATATGTTTTTTTTAGAAGCAACTAACACTCTCTATAAATGTCCCTAAAGCCTATAGCGACAGTGGTTACAATGGCAATTAACTAATGCCGGTAAAAACTTTAACACTCGTTGTTAATGTGCATATTTCTTGTCGCTAAAAGTTGTTTTTGTTACAGTGAACAGTAACTAATAATCCCTCCATCCCATTCTACTGTGAAGCTGTTTGACTAGGCAATAGACACGTCTATCCAGAATATAAATACACATGATACACAAAATGCATGATTTTCACGACAGACAACTAAAATCTTTCTTTTGATACAGAATAAGATATTAAGCATTCTACATTCCTAAATCATACACCAAGAAGAATAAATTATTACTTACATTCTTTTCTGCACTGCCATTCAAACCAAATCTCGTTCTATAATTCCTGATTGCACGATTCAACACACACGTCCAAATCGGTATCGTCTTTGACATACTATCTGGAAACCGCTTCCCTTTCCTTGTTGAATCAACAATCATACACCCTCCCTTCTGTCCTAACCATCAATTATCAATTAGCTTCCAACTATATCATGTATATAAACAACTATATCATGTATATAAACAAAGACAATCCACCTCCAACCATCAAAGTAAACAAAGATATTACATAGAATTCATATTTTATAATGTTGTTAAACTCAAAAGTCACTCAACTATCATTTTTTTTGTGTGTGTGAGTGACTTTTGAGTTGAAAATGGAAGTTGAGTGAGTTTCTGCGAAAAGAGTTGATAGTTGAGTGACCATCAAAGCTATTAACTCAATATATAACCAAGCCATTTGGAACATTGTGATGTTATATGGCCATATTCTCTGTGATGCTAATCAAGTTTAGATTATACATTCTAAATTTTCAACTCAATCTATCTATCCGCAATTGAATGAGTCTGTAATTCAAGTGTAAATCCATATGTAATATAATTGAAAATCTATCTGTAGTTCAAAATGTGTATTATGTACCAATTTACGAGCAGACAAATTAAATTATAATAAGAGACTTTAAATATATAAACGGAAAGTTACCAGCAAGAAGTGCAACATGTAGATTAAGTCGAGATGTATTGAAAGACCAATTATTGGTGTGTCCATCAGTTGATTTGAAATAGCAAGTAGAGTGAAATTTCATAGAGTACCAAAGTCCACAACGGAGATTTGCTAACAGCGGAAGCTCCGGCCATAACTGAGCAATCTCGCCGACGAATATGGAATCCTCGTAAATTGATCGGAGAGCGTTGTACAGAGTATTTTCACTTCGTTTTATAATTCTCGAAGCTTTGTATGTATTCAAGTTTTCTAGATTCTCCATTGAAGAAGAAGAAAACAGAGTTTGCAGATCGGAAAATTTGCTATAAGTTTGGTGTTAGCTTTATTTTTCACCCTTAGGGGAAGTACAAGTTGGGCTTCTTATTATAGGTATTTGGGCCACTTAGGGGTGTCCAAAGGAGGAAGTATACTTTTTTCATTAATGAAATTTTTCGGGAAACTTTCATATACAGTCACTTAAAAATAATTTAATTATATTTTATAGTTATAATTTGCTAATTACAATTGATAGCTAAATGTTATAGGGAGGAGAGTGATGATCAAGAGAAGGCAAAGAGTGAAGAGAGGTGAATTATATATGTATATATGTCAAATTAATTAATATATTATATCTAGCGAGTGAGATTGAGAAAGGGAGGAGAAAGGCAAGCGATATTGGGAGAGGGAGGGAAAAGGAGAGCGGGAGAGGGAAGAGAGTGGAGAGAAGAAAACCATGTAACTATTATGTATATGTATCAATTATTTTATTTGTATATTTACGTACAATTTGAAATCGTATACAATTAAATTGAGTTAAAACATTTGTACTTGTATATTCAATCTTTCTCTCTCGTTTTATACAAGTACAAAATATACATTATGTTTGTATAATTTGTGTTTCTATAAAGCGAGAGAGAGAGAGAGCGAAAGACAAATGAGAATTAGGTAGGGGAAGATTTGTGTTTGTACAATTATAAGTGTATATGACAAAGAGATACGTATTTGTATTTGTATATCGAAATTCTCTCGTTTTATACAAACACAAACAGTTTGACAGAAGATAAGCGAGAGCAAGAGAGATAGGGCAGGGAGAGGAGAGAGACGAGGGAGAGATGACTGAAAAAGAGATGAGCGAAGAGCGAGATTCCAAAGAGATGAGAGAGATGCGAGAGACATATAATATAATTATTGCTAGAAGTAATTCATGCAAATTATAGCTATATTAGCTAACTAACTAGTTTATATTTGTCTAATCGCATAATTTTTCCATTTTTTCTGTATTTCAGTGTCATGTAATAGGAATTTTAATTTCTATGAATTTTTCATGTGCGTTAGTTCACTTATTTTTCAGAAATTGGTCGATTGACTTTGTTGGCCTCCAAACTAGGCCAGGTCCGGTCTGGTGACCAATATTCGTTGCGTTTTCATTTTCAGCGTTACGTTGTCATTAAATTTTAATATTTTAAATATTTTTTTATGTGTGTTAATTCACATATTTTCTGAAAATTAGTTGACGACTCTGTTATAATGGCTCAAAATATGTTAATATATTTTTCAAGCAACTCGGAAAAAAAAACTTAAACTCTTTTTGTTCTCCATACAACAAACAACAATAACATACACCATGTGTCATCCAACAAGCAGGATCTGGAAAAGTAAAACGTACGCAGACTTCACGTCTATTTTTGTAGAGCATAGAGATTGTTTACGATCGATCCTTCCCTTTTCTCCATCTATTTTATATTTTTTGCAGCTTTGAGTGCACCAGAGGAGACAGAAGAAGCAGGATTAAGTGCCTTTCTAATTTTGAATACATTCCAAGCAGTTCCTGCACAATGCCCTACTGTTGCTAATGCATCTCCTGTTGCCTCCCCTGCATTCTCTCCATACCTATTTCTCATTCCAAAAGAAAAAAGAAATTAATATAATGTCAATTCATACAATAACAAAATCAAATATATATCATTTATGAATCTTAAGAGAAACCAACAGATATATAAAACAAATCATCTTAATTATTCAGCTTCAGAGATAACATTCTTAATATTTAGATGTTATTCAGATTTACATATCTAGATTTTAATGCACATCTTAATATTCAGATGTGTATTTAGATTCAGACTAAGAATGGTGGAATGAGCAGAAAATCAATGTGAGATGTCGCGTGGGGTACTTATTTTTGTAGGGAAAAATTAACAATTATACCCCAAAACTATCGTAAATGATATGGATATTCTCCGTCACACTTTTGGGATATTACCGTCTAAAAACTAGAGCATATATGCTCTTCACTCTAACAAAAGACTAAATAGGGACATGTGAATATATTTAGCTAGCGTTTGACCATAGATTTCCAAATATTCTTGGCAAATATTATTTGAGTGAAAATTTGGGTGAAATTTCACCATGTGTTTGGCCATAAAATTTGGGAAATATATTTTACCTTTTTAGAAAAATATGATTTATACACACAAGTTTTAAAAACTATCAAAATTAACTAAAAGTTTGTATTACAAGTCAATGAATGTTCGTTACAACAATAACAAATACTGTCCATGACACTAAAGCAATGTGGTAATTTGGAGTGAGTGCAACAAGAATTATTTCATACATCGTGAAGTAGACAAAGTACATGACTTTGTTACCTAAAGCCAATTTTTAATAATTTTCATCAACAATCATATCATTATTTAATATTCACTACATATTTCATCACTATTTTGGTGTTCACGTAAAAAATGATGTAATACAACGCAAACAACTACTAGAGAGGGTGTTTTTGTAAAAGATAAAAGATTTGGGGTAAAATTTTAATTTTTAAAATATCCCAAATAATGAGATTTGGCCCAAATACTAGAAAAAACTAGTATTTGAAAATTTGAGATATTTGCCAAAAATATTTGCCAAATAATGGCAAATTGTATGGACAAACATTATTTGCCAAATTTTTCCCAAATATTATTTGAAAAATTTATGGCCAAACGGGCCCTAATAATAAATGTCGGATCGAAGGATAATATTATGATACGTATATGTTTGTTAGCATAAAGAATATATACGATCTAATTTTTTGACGATAGAATCAGTAGCAGACCCAGAATTTTCAAGAAGTGGGTTCAAGATATAAAAAATAAAATTAAAATGTGGGAGTAAAGATCAAACTCAGGCAAGTTGGAGAAATTAAGCCCTCTTCACCATTAGGCCAAGAGTCACATTTGGAGTCAAAAGTTAATATACATATAAAATTTTAAAAACTAATCAAATATACATATACATATATACATACATACATATATATATATATATATATATATATATATATATATATATGGCATTATTTTTCAACAAAGTGGGTACATATGAACCCACTTGACTTTTGCGGGTCTGTCCCTGAACAGGGTAACAATGTTCCAAAAGTATGACGAATGATATTTACATATCATTTATAATAATTCGGAGGTATATTTATCCTTTTTTCCTATTTCTATACGATAAGTCAGTTTTCTTATTTTAAATTCTCGAAAAAGTATTTTTCAAAACTTTTGATCAACGAAACATGAAAAAATCTAAACATTTTCTTCCACCATCTTTAGTGTATTTACCTCTGAGTGACCATCCTTGTAACAGCACCAGATGTTGCAGACAATGTTTGTTTTTCAGCAGCTTCAGCAGCATCTAAAATCTTGTCTACATTTACAACAAGAAATCAAATCATACAAACATTTTTGAAATGGGAAAAAGAGAGGCTGAATTGTTCGAACTCTTCAAAAATACTATCGAGTATATATTGAATTCACCAAAAATAATACTCTCTCTGTTTCAATTTAAGTGAACTTTTTGTTTTTCTAGAGTCAAACAGTTTAAATTTGATCAGAAATTTACGTGTAAAATCTTTTAAATTTTTGAAATGAAATTTATATATTTGTAAACTATATAAAAGAAATAATTATAAGATGTATGAAAATTTTACTATCATAATTAGATTTATTTGAATCTCGAAATCTAAAAAATATAGAAAAAAATAAATTATAAAAAATTCAGTACAATTATAAAAATATTTTTAAAGATTTCAAACAACATGACGGGATACTTACTGAGAGCATCAAGTGAAGCCAATAGAACTTCTCCAGGGACCATGGTCAAGAATTTTTGGCCAGCTTGGGACCTAACCATTGGCCCCATAACTGATCCACTTGCAATTCCAACTCCATTGAGCATAGATTTACTCATTTTTTCTGTCATTTTTGACAACTTCCTCACACTACAAACAAATTCAATGACATGTTTTATTTCGCGATAATCTATATCTTTGTTGTTAGCAAATTGTCTCACATGTTTGGTATGAAGAAAAATATTTTCATAAAAAAAAAGTAATTTTATCCTTAAAAATATTTATGCGTAACCTAAAAAAGTTGAAAAGAAAGACATTAATCTTGAAATGTCACTTATGAAATTTATTTTTTCGGTCCAGCTAAAAAGTTTATTTTCTTAAGTATTTAGGAATTTGTCTTAGTAAAAAGTGGGGTTTTCAAAGTATTTTGATCAATAAAATATAAAAAAAAAATTAGAAAACATTTTTGTCTATTACCAAACACGCCTTGGATTCCACATGTCAAAATATTTTGGAGAAATGTCTAAATATTCCCAGCCCCCCACCCCACCTTTTTTTTCAATTATTTAAATATGAGATAAATTTGTTAATATCAAAAATATAAATGATGTGATAGTACTAATATATAAATTTGTGAATTTAGAAATTCATCGGTTAAATTAAATTTGTAAAATAATTTCTTTTTAAGAATTAAAAAGACGTGGAGTTAATAACTTTGATGGTCACTCAACTATCAATTGTTTTCGCAGAAAGTCACTCAACTTTCATTTTCAACTCAAAAGTCATTCAACTATGATTTCTTTGTACAGAATGTCACTTAATTTTCATTTTCAACTCAAAAATCACTCAACTACGACTTTTTTTGCACAGAAGTCACTCGATCTATTTAATTGTTTTTTCATTAAAATTTAGTGACATGAAATTTTAATTATTTACCAAAATTTTAAGAATATACATACCCCTTTAAACCATTTAATGACCCGCCCATTTAATCCAACCCACTAAAAATATAATATTTAACATTTTATTTTACCATTAGTTCCCTAAATCATTTTCCGTTGAACATTGAACATTTTATTTTACCATTAATTCGCTAAAAGAATGTGGGATACAAGGAAGAATGATTTAGGAAATTAGTGGTAAAATAAAATGTTCAATATTATATTTTTAACGGATCGGATTAAATAGATATATATATATATATATATATATATATATATAATTACTTAAAATTTTAGTCAATAATTAAAATTTTATATCATTAAATTTTGTTGAAAAAATAATTAAATAGATTAATTGACTTTTGAGTTGAAAATGAAAATTGAGTAACTTTTGTGAAAACAATTGGTAGTTAAGTTATCATTATCAAAGTTATTAACTCAAAAGACGTATCAAAACACAAACATCAAAAAAAAATAAAAGTATTTAACATATAGTAAAATAAGATAAGTATTCACTGTTTTATATGAACAGTCTCAAACTGTTTCTTTTTGAGAATAAAAAAGATTTGTATCATAATAACAAATGTCAAAATGAACCAAAATCCTTTTAACATATAATAAAATTAAGATATTTCGTATAATATCTTTTTTAACTTTTTTGACATGATGATATAAAAGAATCATTATGGGTAGACAAAATTTTCTTCTTTTTCTTTAGCTTTTTGACTTTAATGATAAAAGATTATGAGAAAGGAATTTTAGTACCGTTTTAGGCTTTCATTGAGTGCACTCTTATTTGTTGTATTATTGCCCTTCTTTTTGATAATAGTAGAATCAGAATTTTCTATAGCTCGAATTAAAATATTTTCTCCTCCCTTTTGTACCTACATTTAATAACGTAATAAAAAAAATTTAAATATAATTCAATCTCAAAAATTATAAGTATAAAGTAGAGTGACATTAATATAACACATATATTAAATTCTGATTCTGACAAGAGAATAAAGTTTAGCGCAAATATAACTTTGAAATAGGGTTATTATTGATGTTTACTGGAGCTTCAATTTAAAGTTTATAACACTTTTTGATTTGACCTTCTAGCATCGGGCTGGTATCAGACACTATACATTGTGTTACCACTTGGTAAAGTAATGTGTTTTTAATAAATAGTGGCCACCCCTTACGCTCCGACTGATCTTCTATCACTACAACAAAAATGTCCATTAGCGGCATTAAATTTTTAATTGCTGCTAAATATGTATTTTTAGCGCCAATTGACACTCTTTGTATATGTTCCTAAAGCCTTTAGCGACATTGATTCTAATGACACTTAATTAATACCAGTGAAAACTTAAGCACTCTTTATTAGTGTCAATATTTAATGCCGCTAAAAATTATTTTTGTTATGGCGTATGAAGAAGCAACTTCCAAAATCATTTTTGATGGAGAACGAACTATACAAAGGTGGACCTAGCTTGTAGGCTATGGATTGACTAGATATATATTAAGAAATGCATCAAATATCTATAAATATAGACGTTAAACTCAATTATTAATGTATTATTATTTTGATGTCATTATAAAAACTCATAAATTTCATATTCTGAATCAGTCTATAACATATTTAACTTAAGAGGTCCCTTAATACAATACTTCGATTGAGTACTCAAAAGATCCTTTGAAGGTAAGTAGGTCTATGTATGTAAAGAATTTCTAACAGATAGATAGACCATATAAAGAGACAACAACGGATTCCCTCGCCCATCAAATAAAAAACAACACAACAACAATAAACACAGTAGAGAGACTGTTTTTGATAGATCTTTAACTCAAAGAAAAATGTAAAAGAAAACAGAAACAACAACAACAAGATAGTACAATAATCGAGGCTAACAAAACAACAAATAGTAATAAAAATCTAAGAATAGAAAAACAAAACTAATTAATAGGTAAATAATGTATACAAACCTGATTAGTATAAGCATTGCTACATTTGAAAATCCCTTTAACAATTTGACCTGTTCCTTCAGCAATTGCTTTAGCCAAAACATTATTATAATCTTCAATTCTTGGAGCAAATTCTTTCCAATCAATATCACTTTTCCTAATTAATGATTTTGATGAACAAGTGAACATAGCATTTTTTTTAAGAAATTCATCTAAAACTCCAAGATTTCCACTACCCTTTTCTAAAAATGTGACACCATAACTTAAAGTATGTCCATTTTTTATAGGCAAAGTGAACAAATAATGCAAAGAATCAAGCTTTACTATTGGTTCATCTTTTGTAAGTGGCCATTGAAGTTCATCACCAACTTTTATGATTGTAGCTACACAAACACCTTCTTCAAATATTGAAAAAATTGTGAAAAATCCATTGGAAAGTTCTAGAGTTTCCCCTTCATCCATTAGATGAACTTTGCATGATGGGATGTTTAAAATAACTTCATGTTTGATGTTCTTGATTTCTTTTGTTTGTATTTGTGATGGTGTTTTGTCTATAGGGAAACTTTTGGATTTCTTTGTCTTAAAGAAACTCATTTTGTTTCTTTGGTGTTTGTAGGTTTGAAGAACTTTGTGATATAAAAAGGGATAGAAAGGAGGGAGAGAGGGGGGGATATAATTTAGTTTGAGTTTAAGTAATATGCACCGTCACTAATTGTTGACAATCTTTATATTATATGATTTATAGTCATAGCAGATAACTTGTTTTATTTTCAAAAGTACAAATCTCATATTTTTAGTTGATTTATAGTGTACCTAAATGTATCAATTTAAATCGTATGAAAAATTATTTACATCAACAATGTACCTGACTTAAACTCATCTTAAATTTACTCAAGTTATATTTTAAATGTACTCAAATCGTGGCATATTTATATCGTTGAATCTTATGGAGTTTCAATTAAGTATAATATGTGATAGTTTCAAGGCATAATCAGAAGTAAAACTAATAAATTTTAAATAATTTCAAAAGGTATTTTAACACGTGAAATTAATTTAAATAATTTTAAAATTAAAATTGAAGATAATACGAAATGATTTTTTTTTCTTTCTAAAAGAAAGTGATGGATTTAAAGGGAATATAAAGATGCAAAGGAGATGGCTAATAGAGAAAATTTAGTACTTTAATTGATTCTATATTTTATATATATATATTGATTTTATTGATACTTATTCTATTCTTCAAAGAGAAGTTGTTGTTTAGGTATATCGCATACCTTTATTTTATTTCTCTTGCTATCAAAATTAAATATTAATAAAACATTAAGTTTTGTTCTATTTACAACCAAAATTAAATATTGCTTAAGTAAAGTGTTTTGACTAATTTTTTTTCCAAAAAAAAAAAAGTATTTTTAAAGTCAATTATGAAAAAGAATAAATATGAATACACTTCTAATATTAAAGATTATTTAAATATCTATAAAATCTAAACTTTTATTTTGTTAAATCAAAATATATTTATCCAAATATTTCGACCAATATTTCATAGATGAATAAAAAAAATTAAAATATTAATAAAATATTAACACGTTAATTATATTAATTTTTTTCATGACAAGGAAAATTCGCAGTCTCTATTCTTTTTGAATGCGCACGGGGTAAATTCCCACTCTTATGCAATAACTTACGTGATGATTATGTAATTAATAATATCAAAACAAAATAAATTTAAAACTTATTTCACTAATTAAATCACTACATACTAAAAACTCATTACAAATAATAAATAAAATACAAGAAATATATATATATATATGACGAGAATATTTTGATTTTGAAATAAATAATTTTTTCTCCTACTTCTCTTTTTTTTCCCTAAAAGCAGAAATACAATCTTCCGCCAACAATATCAAACACGAGTTTTATCAATATAATACAATACAACGGGTAGCAAACTTCCAAAGGTGTAAATGGTATTAGTATTATTTTTTTAATACAATGATTTTCACCATTAATAATATTTTACATCGTCTTCATTGGCTATATATATATATATATATAATATTATATATATACACACACTCAGTGCTTTTGGTTCTTCGTTTAATCTTCCTTCTTGCTGGAATTTGTTTTTTTTTTGTGCATTTTTGGTATGTTTTCGTATTTGAGCTGAATTTGGGGTTCTAGGGTTTAAACGCCATTGACGATATTTATGTGCTTTAATTTCTAATTGTTTTGCTTATTTGTTTAACTATAGAGCTAAAATTTGAGATATGGAGATTATTTTGGCGACAGTAGTGTTGGGTATCTTGCTAGCTGTGTTCATTGTGTTACCTCGACTGCGGAGTAAATCTGGTGAGCTTTTTAGTTGATTCTGTATGGGTTTTTGTTAGAGTGAACTTTATTTATAGATTTGCAATTATTTGTCGTGAGCTGGCTTTTAGAGTTGAGTTAGATTCAAATGTCGTATCTTTACATAGTGTCATAGTCAGAGTCAGGTTCATACATGTTTGGGCTTCTTGTGAGGGTAAGGTAATGTTAGAGTGAGTTAGAGTTCCGCATTGAACTTATATAGATTTGCAATTCTTTGTCGTGAGCTAGCTTTTGGAGTTGAGTTAGATTCAAATGTCGTATCTTTACATAGTGTCAGGTTCAGGTTCATCCTTGTTTGGGCTTCTTGTGAGGGTAAGGTAATGTTAGAGTGAGTTAGAGTCCTACATTAGTTGGGAATGGATGTGGATTTGGGTAAACCGCTCTCGTGAGTCAGCTTTTGAAGCTGAGTTAGGCCTAAATGTTATATATATAGTATTGGGGTCAAGTCTATACCCGATTGGGATCTAGGTTCACGCTCTAGCTGGGTCTAGGTGTAAATGGGATGTTAGGATGGATTAGGTTCCCACATTGGTTGGGAAATGGACGGGTGGTTTGTATATGTGTGACTTGGGGAATCGTCCTCTCGGGAGTTAGTTTTTGGGATTGAGTCAGGTCTAAGTGTCATATCATTGTAGGTTTCAAGTTTGTAATGCTCTTATACTCAGAAAGAATTTGATGTTTGATTGTTGTCGTTTGTGTTCTAACACAGTTCCGCAGAAAAGAAAGGTTTCCTCAAATGCTCAGAACAAGGTACTTTAAATTACAGTCATATCATTTATCTAACTTTTTTGGTTGTTAAAATAGTTCCTTGATAAGTTACTTTTGTTGTTAAATTTTAGCCAGTTCGTTTCAGTTGTGTAGTTAATAATTATGCTTGTCAAGATTATAGTTAGTGGTTCGTACTGTCTGAAAAAATTTCATCTTGGTTCTAATTCAAGTCAGCAAACCAACTGAAGTTGTGAATATTTCCCAAGACCATATAAGGAAATAACAACTCATATACTGTGTACCTAACTTGAAGAGCAGAGATTGTTAGATATCTCAGATTTCTCTTGTTTATTTGCAGAACACATGGATATATTAGTTTATTTTGTAAATTACTCCTCATGTATTAGATTTTATCTCTTTATAGATGCTAGGTGATGCCCTGCATGAACTATTCTTATTCTTAAAAGTTAAACCTTGTTGGTAGGGAGTCTATCAGAAACAAGCTCTCTATTTCTATGGTACGGGTAAGGTTTGTGGTGGTCGTGTCTGTGATTGGGAGGGTGCGGGGAGGATGGAATGTGTTGAGAAAGAAGGGCAAAACTTAAGTCCTTTCAGAACAATAAATTATGTCGGTGTTTAAAGCAATTGACAAGTCTTGCATCTGTTGTAGTTATTATTTGTGAGCGAAGGGAAGGGTGGAATGTGTTTAAGAAAGAAGGGCAAACTTAAGTCCTTTGAGAACAAATATTATGTTGGTATTTAAAGCAAGTCTTGCATCTATCGTAGTTATTTCTTGCGAGCGAATTATTTTGCTGTATAACTGCACAAAGCTTCATAACTGACCGATTTGATAATTTTCTCTTGTGCATATTGTTTGTGCACCAGCAGTTGTATAATCGCTTTCTCGTCTCTATATTATCCATATGTTCTGTGATTGTGCTGATTACTTTTCTTTCTTTTGCGATATATTCTTTTTGATCTAAAGGCAGTCAAATCGTATAGCAAAGCTGAAGTTGCACGGCATAACAAGAGAACTGATTGCTGGATTATTATCAAAGATAAGGTCTTTTTATTTCTCTGCTTGACCACATAAACCATTACTTTAGCACTTATGGAATATTAACCTTTTCTGGTCACATTCTTTTCGTAATATATACTCTTTTCTTCGCTTTTTTCTGTCTTTAGGTGTTTGATGTTACCTCGTATGTCGAAGAACACCCAGGGGGTGATGCCATCCTAGATCATGCTGGTGATGATTCAACTGAAGGTTTCTACGGGTAAGCCTTTGTCAAATATATACTTCTTCCACTAATTCAGTTCACAACGACAGTGTAATCCTAGAAGTGGGGTCTGATGAGGCTAAGATATACACAGACGTTACCCCTACCTTTGTGCGTAGAGAGGCTGTTTCCAATAGAACTCGGTTCAATCTTCCACTAATTCAGTTACACTAAGAAAAAAATCATATCCACATTCGTCTCTTCACTCTAGTTTCTCTCCGATAATCCCTTATGGCTTGACACACATCCTTACAATCTTCGGGAATTTTTTTTTCTTTTCCCAGTTATACGAGACTTAAAAGTAGCCTCTTGACCATGTAATCACCGATCATACTTGCTCCTATTCCATTTGTGGTTCTGCATTTCCTTCATTGCCTTTTTTCATCGAAGTTCCATTGTTTGCTATTGTATTAACCATTCAAATCGCGTTGCAGGCCACAACATGCTACGCGAGTATTTGAGATGATTGATGACTTCTGCATCGGAGATCTAGAAATATAAATGATAACTTCCATCGATTGATTACGAATTGTTCATGTGATGAAAAAACTCGAGGAGCTTGTGTTACCTCATAATAAAGCATCGATTGGTATTTGTTATTTCATATTATCTATGATATAATCCATCTTCCAAAGGGAAAAGGTACTCTCTTTACTTTTTTTATTTTATGCCATTTTTAATAATTTTATTTACTATTTCCTTATTTAAATCCACTTCTAAGTCGAATTGGTTTAGGATTTTTGCTTCTCAAACTCTTATAAACACATAGAGACCACTTCTTAATCAGAGGTCTCGAATCAGAACATCCATTTTCATATATATCATCAACCCACACACCATTACTACCTACAACTACAACCATCTACTCTCATCGATTGAAAAATCGAAATTATATGGAGTGTACTTTGACTTATAGTCGTTCCTCCTCAGATGCTTGTGTAGTATTTAGTCAAATAGAAACACCACAAGAAGAATTAAACATTAATAAAGATAGTAGCAATATTTCTTCTTTACCACTTTTATCTATTCGATTACACATTGATACACATGAACTACATTGGTACAAACCACCCAATAAACCTAAACAATACCAATATGATCGACATATTCATGTCAATTCACTTCATCTCGAATATTATCCTTCTATATATACATGTCATACGACTTGTTGTACCAATCTTTGCGAGATAATATGGAGAATTTGAGAGAGGAGTTTGATCGTAGTGATATCATCCGTGATATGATAGATAAAATACGTGGCATTGTTGTTGATGAGTCTAATAATGGAGGTGTTTGTTAGTATAATGTTCGTCGTTGAATGTTTTGTTGATAAAAATATTTTGAGCGATGATTGTGTTATTTGCTTCGAAGAGCTTGGGAAGGAGGGAGAGGTGATGTGCACACCTTGTTCACATGTGTTTCATGAGGATTGTATTGCAAAATGGTTAGAGAAGGGCAATTCTTGCCCTATTTGTCGTCACGATCTCTCAAACATCTAGATTTTTGTGTTTCACTTTTTATACGAAAGAGAAAAGGGGTTTTATATTGGCTCGATTAATTGGTTACCTGAACTCTCGATTTATTATTTTGTAATCTCCTCTCTTTTGTTTTCTATTTTTCCAACCCTAATTTTTTTAAAAAATTCTTTTTTAGTTGAATTGAATACAACATATTGAATATTGAGAATCGCAAGCTCACTTACATTATGCTTTTTATTTTCATAAATATTTGAACAACATATTTAATTAATTAAAAAAAAAATACCTATTGTACTAAAATTTTATTTTAATAAAAAAATTATTGCTTAAGAGAAATGATTATCGTTCACATTTAAATGAGAAATATTGAAAAGAAAAATATTTATCCTTCTCCCAAAGGGAAAAGGTATTTGTTTACTTTTTATTTTATTTTGGTAACTTCCCTAATTAAATTTGAAGTTCCTAAGTCGTATTGGTTTAGAATTTGCTTAACTCTTATAAATATATAATAAAGATCGTTTGAGATTATTATTATTTCGTTCTCGATCAATGGTCTCAAATCACAATATTCATTATCATAATAAATATGGAAACTATGTTCTATCACAGTCTTCCCTCCTCAGACGCTTGCGTAGTATTTAGTCAAATCGAAACACCAAAAGAAGAATTAAACATTGATAAAGATAGCAATATTTCTTCTCCTTTACCACTTTTATCTATTCGATTTCACCTTCGTAAAGTTGAACTATGTTGGTATAAACCACTTCATGAGCCTCAACAATTCCAATATTATAGCCCAATGTTTGTCAACTCACTTCATCTCGAATACAACCCTTCTATATACGCGTCATACGACTTGTTCTACAATGCCTTGCGAGAAAATATGGAGAATTTAGGAGAGGAGTTTGAGGATAATTATCGTAGTGATATAATTCGTTATATCATAAGTGAAGTACGTGATGTTTTTGATGATGAGTCTAACAAGGGACGCGAAAAAGTGGAGGTGTCTGTTGATACAATATTCGTTGTTAAGCGTTTTGTTGATAAAAATATTTTGACGGATGATTGTATGATTTGTTTAGAAGAACTTGAGAAGAAGGGAGAGGTAATGTGCACACCTTGTTCACATGTGTTTCATGAAGATTGCATTGTTGAATGGTTAGAGAATGGAAATGCTTGCCCTATTTGTCGTCACGATTTCTTAAACAAAGATTTTAGTAGTTCGATTCATTGATTGATTACTGAATTTTAATTTTTTTAGTAAAGATTCAATTTCTCAGTTTGTAATCCTTCAATCCCTATTTTCTCTTACCCAATCCCAATATTTTATTTATATTTTTATTGAACCAAAATAATAATAAAAATCAAGAATATTTTATTATAACAACACTATTCATATTTGTAATTTTTGTATTTAAAAAAATGTATACGCAACTCACTTTATAAAATGGATACTAATTTATTAGATCTTTGAAAATTTGACTAATATACATACCATATGGTTAGGGTTTGAATATTAGACAAAAACTTTATTTTTTTTTTTATATTAGAAATCCAAAATATTACTTATTTCTAAAAATAAAATTTCACGGTCCATCTATATATAATCCAAAAGAATCTTTATATTAACTAATTTTTATTATATGATCCATCTCTCAAAGGGAAAAGGTATATATTTGCTTTACTTTTTTTTTTTGTCATTATAATAATTTATTTTTGGGTATTTCTTGGAACATAATTAATTAACTCTTTCCTTAAATAAATCGAGTTCCTAAGTCGAATTAGCTTAGGATTTTTGCTTCTCAACTCTTATAAACACATAAGATTGTTTGACACCACTTCCTAATTTCAACTATTTTTTTAATTCTTAATCAGAGGTTTTGAATTACAACATTCATTTTTTATATATCGTCAACCCTGCACCATCTACTCTCATATCGAGTGATAAATCGAAAAAAATATATATGAAGATAATTTTGAATCACAATCGTTCTTCTTCGGACGTTTGTGTAGTATTTAGTCAAATAGAAATACCACAAGAAGAATTAAACATTAATAAAGATAGCAAAATTTCTTCTTATTTACCACTTTTATCTATTCTATTTCACCTTGATATACATGAACTATATTGGTATAAAACTCCGACTCCCAATGAACCTAATCAGTACCAATATTATCGACATACTCGTGGTGATTCACTTCATCTTGAATATTCTCCTTCTATATACATGTCACACGACTTGTTCTACCATGCTTTGCGAGAAAATATGGAGGATTTAGGAGAGGAGCTTGAAGATAATTATCGTAGTGATATCATCCATGTTGTGATAGACAAAATACGTGGGATTGTTGTTGATGAGTCATCTAACCATGGACGTGAAAAAGTGGAGGTGTTTGTTGGTATAATGTTCTTCGTTAAACGTTTTGTTGATAAAAATATTTTGAACGATGATTGTGTGATTTGTTTTGAAGAGCTTGGGAAGGAGGGAAGTGTGATGTGTACACCTTGTTCACACGTGTTTCATGAGGATTGTATTGCAAAATGGTTAGCCAATGGCAATTCTTGCCCTATTTGTCGTCGTGATCTTCCAGATATTTAACTATTTTAGTTACTCGATTAATTAATTATCTGAACTCTCGATTTTCTCAAATATCGAGGAAAAATATAATCCACCTCCCAAAGGGAAAAGGTATTTGTTTTTACTTTTTATATTTTATTATTGAAACATAATTAACTAAACTTTTCCTAATTAAATTCATAGTTCCCAAGTCGAATCGGTTTAAAATTTGCTTCTCAACTCTTATAAATACATACATAAAAGACCGTTTGAGATTATTATTATTATTTCGTTCTTTTGGAATAACAATATCCGTTTATCATATGTCATCAATTCCGCACCGAGTGAAAAACCAACGATATATAAATATGGAAACTATGTTCTATTACGGTATTCCTTCCTCAGACGTGTGCGTAGTATTTAGTCAAATAAAAACACCAAAAGCAAAATTAAGCATTAATAAAGATAGCAATAATATTTCTTCTTCTTTACCACTTTTATCTATTCGATTTCACCTTCGTGCAATTGAATTATGTTGGTATAAACCACCCAATGGTGACCCTCAACAACTCCAATATTATCGCCCTATGTTTACCATATCACATCATATTGAATATAACCCTTCTATATACGTGCCATACGACTTGTTCTACAATGCCTTGCAAGAAAATATGAAGAATATAGGAAAGGAGTTTGAAGACAATTATCGTAGTGATATTATCCGTTATATTATAGGGGAAGTACGTGACGTTTTTGATGATGAATCTAACAAGGGACGCGAAAAAGTGGAGGTGTCTGTTGATACAGTATTCACTGTTAAACGTTTTCTTGATAAAAGTATTTTGGATGATGATTGTGTGATTTGTTTCGAAAAACCTGGGAAAGAGAGAGAGGTGATGTGCACACCTTGTTCACATATGTTTCATGAAGATTGTATTGTAAAATGGCTAGAGCATGACAATTCTTGCCCTATTTGCCGGCAAGATATCTTAGATAGCTAGTTTTTTGTGTATCACTTTTTTTTTTCTTCAAATCATTATAATAAAGGAGAGCTAACTTTCGCATATAGCTAACACGAAATTTATATTTGTATGTCTATAGCAAAGTTTGTATAATTGCGCTTCATAGCAAACATAAATATGTATAATTCGCTATACATATACTAAGATACCAATTGTATAATTCACTATATATATACAAAGAAACCAATTGTATAATTCGCTATACATATACAAAAGAAAGCAGTTGTACACAAATCAATTGCATAATTTGTGTATGTATAAAACGAGAAAGAGAGAAAGATAAAAGAAAATTGGACAGGGGAATATTTGTATTGTATAATTATAAGTGTATAGAGTGAAGATGAATGTATTTGCAAGTGTATATACAATTTTCTCCCGCTTTATACAAACAGAAATGCAATTTATACATTTTGTTTCTGTTTGTATAAGCGATAGAGGCGAAGGGTGGCGAACGAAATCTGGGAGAGGGGAACGAAAAAATATACATACATTTTTTTTCCAGCTTTATACAAACAAAAACGCATTTTATACACTTGTGTTTGTATAAAAGTGAGAGGAAGCAAGCGAGAGAGGGAGAGTGGCGAGCAAGAGTTTGAGAGAGAGAGGTGACTGACAAAAAATTCGCCATATGTACCTGAATTTGAAGCAAAAATGTCACCATTCCTCTCCCTTGTGTTAGCAACATTTCAAAAACCAAAATTTCAAGATAAAGTTAAGAGTTTGTCAAGCCTAAATTCAGAAGTTGTGTAATAAAACTAATTTCAAAGTGAATAGATATGCAAAAACTTATAATAATTAAAAAAATATGAGAAGAATGAAGTGAAAATTAAATACTGAGAAACAACATAAACTTACATTTGTTATCTATTGGTCAGCCACCATCCAAAATACAATCTTAAACTAACTTTGAAATGGACATTAAATTTTTACAAAATGAACATTACAATTACAAAAACCAGCTCAAAAGCATGGTAGACCTTAGTGACAAGAATGAAGTGATAAATTTAATAGCCAGAAACAATAACCCTTACAACTTACAACCTACATCAATGATGTACCCCTTAAGATCACAAGGGATTAAAAAAAAAAAAATTGGTCAAGCAAATGCTTGGTCACTAATACCAAGGGAACAAAAGAATCACATAATTTATCATTGATTGGATATATTATCTAAATGTTATATTTCTTTGGTTGTCTCCATTGAGCTAAAGTTCTGGACAATGTACTAATAATAGCAACCTTAGGTATTGATCCTTGTTTTCCAAGCAAATCTTTTCCTGCCAAATCTGTAATTTTAGGAACCAGGTGTTTGTGTCTGTCGATCTGCAAAAGAAAAAAGGGAGAGCTGATGGTTCCCGTTGCTGTGATTCATGACGTGTTTACTTTTCTTCATTAGATAGTTCGGTATAATGATGAGATACTAGACCAAGGACAATGAGAGTTTGGGGTGTTGTTATATGACTCAACATCCTACTTTACACTTGTAACGTGATTTTGGGGTTTACACTCGAATTTTTTTAATACATGTCAGTGCAAGTATGAAACCATCTGAAGTAATTTAAGCATCTAAAGTGTTCCGTTTCAACACAGTAGAAAACATTTCTCTTTGCTTCATCTAGGTTTTCTTTGAAGTAATTAGTCTCAGTTCCGAATCCTAGAACAAGTAGATTTATATGAAAGATTATAATGTTGCTTTGAAAGCAGAAGGGTGACTTAAGAAGGGATACCTTGCATATCTTCCCATCTTTCAAATGATATCGGATGCCAGACCAGTTGATGGACTGAGAAAGATGAGAACGCATAGCAGATAGTGGGTATAAAAAGTTGTCAACCAGCATTGCAATGAATACCTACTCAATCAAGACATCAAACGATTAAACATTAGTGACTTGTATTGTGATAAAAAAAAAAACTAAAGCAAACAGGACCATACAGGATTTTCATACTGAAAAGAAACGGAAATAAACTGTTTGGTTTACAGGTGAAGTCTGAATGAACTTACAAGACACCAGTTATAAGAAGCGAGTGACAGTTGAGGTGCCTCGGGAGACAACATATTGCACAAGTGAACTTCGATTCTTGTCAAGTTCCATATGGAAAGGAGTTCAATCACTGTGCATACAGCAAGGCATGCAACAAGTAACAACCCTGACAAAGTACAAAAATATGTGCTTCTAAGAGGGAGAAATATGCAACCAAATAAACAGATTTTTTCTTGGAGAACAGGAATACATTAAACTAATAATAGGATAGACAGATTTTCAAGAACAACTATGAGCTACTTAACGTTTCATGAAGCACCTCCCACAAACAAAGATTTAGTAATTCCAACTACTGGGAAAGTGGGAATAGCATACTCGTAAATAGTGCCGGCAAATGAGCACATATTTTGGTGATCCGCCCATATTTTAACGGGTTGAGTGAGTGCTTTTTCACATGGGTAAAATGTGAATTTGCCAAATGGGTTAAGCTTCTAATTTTTATTCACTAAAAACTCATGATATCACTAAAAATAGTGTAACTTCTCTTCATTTTTATGCTATAGACATAACTATTCTTCTGTATAATTAAAAAGGTGAAGTATTTGACCCTCCAAAAATATACAAGTCAAATGTACATTTCATTTGTTAATTATAATTATATTTTTATTTATT